TGTGTGTGTGTGTCGTTGTCTTCGTTTCTTGATCCTGGCTGTCTCTGAAACAGAAAAGGTTAGCGGGCGGGGGGGGAGTCGTTGGGGTGGTCACCCAGGGTCAAAAAGTTGGTGTCTAGGTCTTTTGTGTTTGTTGGTCACGTCGGGTACGTAGTCAACGGCTTGCCTGAGGAGGGGATTGTCATGTCTAGCGGCTACGTCAAACCGTTTCTCCGCGTTTTGTCTTATTGTCTGTGTAGCGTTTGTGTATTGTAATATGTCAGTGTTTCTTACATACCAGGGTCTACTACTACTACTACCACAGAATATATAGTTACGCTATATATTCTGTGCTACTACTAGTGGCAAAGAGGTTCAAGTAATTAAGTATAAGTATTAGCAGTGACTATAAAAAGAATTCTTTTTATAGTCACTGGTATTAGCCTGTGTAACAGTCGAACTTGGATAGGATACTACTAGATGGCGACACCCTTGTTGACAGAATGATTATGGTCTATGGATTTTATAATAGAGAGTTGCCATCTAGTATTCTCTTATCAAAATTTGATTGGTTGGCTAACTATATTATAAATAAACAAGGGTATTGGTATTAGCGCAGAATATAAACACAATTAGGTCTATTCAATATTTCAAACAACGGTAATACCAAAAAACATAAAATAGACTGTATTGTTATGTTTTTTGATTGAAATATTTTCAGTCAACGGTATTAGGTTTTCATGTTGGCATCTATAAATGCGAAGTTTAACTACTCACCATAATTCATGATTAAAGGTCCAAGTATATTCGGTCACATTTGCAACCAATGCGTTACGTTTTTAATTTAATGTTTAACTGCTAGTAATGCTAGTACTATCTTGTCTGTGTACATTTCTTACAGTCCCGAATTACGTATGTACCTACCTACCTACAAGTATTGGCTATAACTAGATAAAAATTTGGAACATTAAAGGGTCTATATATATATATATTTTTCATGGAGTAAAAAAAACGTGAACATTAATATTAACATTTATATTTTCATATCATCTTAGCTTCTGACTTCCTCATACGCAGCCAGCGGTGTTCGTTTCGCTGCGCTAGAAAAAATCTTGTAATATAATAACAAAAAATAGATTTTTTGTATTGAATTGAGACGAATATATTTTTCTATTTTTTACGCTAGGTCGAAACGTATGCTACTTAACACATAAAAGTGATGTAGTAGAGTATTTTCTATAAGCGTAGTTGTTTATGAGCAAAATTGGTAAAAATTTATAGAATTTATCAGAACAGTCTACCTAAAGGTTTGAGTAGCTCCTCATATGTAGGAACCAATTAACCAACGCCTTCACAATAGTTATTTCGGTCTTTATATATTTATACATTTAACGCAGTTACCTACTTTACAAATATCGGATAATGAAAAATGCAAAATTAAGTGTAAATATAGATGCAATTAACTAAGAGACGCCTCTGGAAATTATTAGCAAATAAGATATAGGTATTTTTATTTTTTGAGGTGCTATGAAAAAAGAATAAGTTCAGTATTTATCAGTTTAATAATATTATGCAATTAACGAATGCAGAAACAATAATTACTAAAGAGTTTAAAATTAAGTATTTCATAGATTATTTGAAAATGGAATTGTAAGTTGTAAGTTACATTGACACTAGAAATTATATTTTTGTATTTTCAGTTTATCCTATCGTTCCCTTATAAAGTTTCATGTTAGCGGTGTTGAACATACTGGTGAGTATTTTCTGATTTTTTCTGAAATTGTATAATAATTTTATATTTAATGCTAGTCATTACAATAAACAAATTAAAAGAAGCTAATTTAATCAATGGTGGCTAGAAATAGGAAGGAGGAAGGCTAGGTACCTCAAATAGTTTCTATAATAAATCGATGCTTTTAAGATGCGAAGTGGTCAATAACGTTGTCGTTTATCTGCTTTATCAACAATTTTCCTAAACTAAGCATGGCTAAAGCACTAAAAATCATTCTTGTCACATTGAACTTCTTTATCCTTTTTAAAGCAGAAAGAAAAACCAATGCTCACTTTCAACTTTCAACTATTGTCATAGGGAACAGTAGCGTAACGAGTGGGGGGGGGGCAGAGGGGGCCATAACCTCGGGCGACATACGAAAAGGGGCGGCGGCAAGCACCGCGATTTTTCAAATCAAAAATCAAAAAATCCTATTTCAAACTTCAAATCGCGCCCGCGCTGGCTCGAGCCAAGCGGGATTTCTATTACAATTAGTTATGATTAAAATGTATCGTGATCCATACTTTTTAAATGATACATCCATAAATAAATTTACTTTGCAATTGTTTAGTACCAACAGAAGATGTCACCCCGGAGACTACCCTTAACACCTACCTTCGAGAGAAGGCCCACCTGACAGGAACTAAGAGAATGTGTCTGGAAGGAGGTTGTGGCAGTTGTTTGGTTGCAGTGGAGGAAACAGTCAATAACGAAAAAAGTGTGTTTTCTGTTAACTCGGTAAGTCTAACGCTAGCTGATTTGGTGTTTTTTATATTTTCATTATTTTCCTGAAATTTTCGGCACCGACATATGACAAATGGATGGATACTACTTCAAATCAGGTCAAATGTTTTTTTTAATTCTTATCCGATGAAGTTGTATACAGTGTGTCCAAGAAATGGTGGACAATCTATCGGATTTGGGGAGGGCTTGCAAAAATAACGTCACAAATTTATATAATTTTTTTAATTCGCGCTCACCCTGTTATTAACTCTTGATGTTGAGAGTTAAAAATAAATTTTTCGTTATAACTTCTTTGTTATTCAAGAAATTCAGATCATTTTTAGGAAAAAAGCCTTCTTATTTGATTTTCTACTAATGTACCTATTCACTTTACTGATAGTTACTTTTTTCGCGACAGAACGCCTTTGGCACTCCTGGTCACTAAAAAAAAATATTTATTGTCAAAATTTTTATTAAAATTTTTGTCGCTGTTTTTAAGTGAGAAAGATGTACTTCTTTGATGAAAAAGGTATACCTGGTCGTTATCGATACGACAAACGTTTTCGGTAAACATGTTTAATGATGAGGATACTATTTTAGAAAAATCGTAATAGTACAAAAAGTAGTCATTATTGCAACAAATATTAAATTTCATTTTACATTATGCATGTATTTTGCTAAATAAAACTGTTCTTCAAGTTTTTAATACAATGAGGATATGGCGTAAATACTATGTTATTTTTATTTCTTAAACAGTGCGTTGTGTCGATAATAAATAAGCATACCTTTTTCACTTAAAAGGGTCGCAATATTTTGTCCTCCATTTTAAAAAATCTAAGCAAGTTAGAAACAATATCTCTTCCCTGTACCAGTTATATAAGTTCTCTTCAGGGTCAGGACATAAGACAACTATCAATACATTCAAAATAAGGAAAAAAGCATATTTTTACCTCGTATGTTTATCTTACGTTTCCTGAATTTTGGCTGTTGAACATACAGAAAATCGCGTACGGTACCTACTATAAACATAATAATACTAATAAACTACTAATAATACTATAAACTGTATAAACATAATCACACCTCGCAGAATGCTGTTAGGACACTATATTAACACAAGCATTTATCATAATAATTATTGAGTATCTTTACAAATTTGCTGGACAAAACAGGAAAAGTACATTTTCTGATGTTTACATGTTCTCCGTGATATTTCAATGCGAAAAATTAAAGGAAGTTGCTCTAGATTAGCGTTACGCTTAGTCATTTCCCGGATGGATCTTCTTGTTCTATAACTGTCTTACTAAAAGTCTGATTTCTTTTATATAAAAAGTCAGAAATTTGGAAATTAGAAAATGATAGTATTAATCTAACTGAAGCACGAACTATTTACAAAAAAGTTTTAATAGTTACTTACAATAAATGCATTATTTTATGTTTTAGTCAAAATTGATTACCTATTTATTAAAAATTCAACAACCTTATGACAAAAATGTCAAACACAAATTTCATTGCCCATTTATCCACTTTTGAAACTCCAACATACATAAAAAACACAAGTATGGTTAATTTTTGTTATCGGTCCTGGATTTTCTGAATATTTAAGAATGACAGTCGTGTGCTACCCAACAGTGGCAGTTTCATCAAAAAATTGGAGAATTAGAACAAACCGTTCAAATATCGTATCGAAAAGAATGTTTGGTCTAAATTCACAAATGTCCCTGTACATTTAAAAAAGGGAAACATACACTTTTTATCTTTCAACTTATCAGATATTGTCAGTATTGCAATATTCACAAATAAATATAGTAAAATGGAATACATAAATAGAATAGTTCTATTGTCTATTGCATGATTGAAGGAATTCTTTCTATACAAAACACTTCCAATTTTAGTGTTTAGTATCGATATTCTCTTGTCACGGTTGGAAAATCCATACAGTCGAAGGGATCGGTGGTCCTTTAACGAAGTACCATCCTATTCAAAGAATCTTAGCAGACAATAATGGAACGCAATGCGGATTTTGCTCTCCTGGAATGGTTATGAACATGTACGCGCTTCACACGTCAGGGCCTGTAACTCAAAGCCAAATAGAAGATTCCTTCGGTAGCAATATATGCAGGTGTACTGGTTATAGATCGATTTTGACTGCATTTAGAAAACTGGCCTCAGATGCAGGTAAACTGATATCAATAAATTCTACCAATGCTCCTCATTTGTTTAGGTATGAACAAACGTTAATCGATGAGTATTTATTGTGCTATATGGAAGAAGAAAATGCTCAAATTTAATTTTTTCGTCGAAATTAAGAAGTTTTGGGTTCACCTAAAACTCATGCACTTGTTACTTATTATTTTTAATTCTGTATCTTTAGCATAAAATGCAATTTTAATTTGCAGTCTTTTATCGTTTAATTTAAGTTACTAGATACGTCAGCGATAATTACGTAATAATCTAATCAATTTTTGCAGAAAAAAGGAGACGAATGGAGTTAAAGGTCAAATCGCTTTATACGTACAAATTTATTCCCTTTGCCGGTATCAGTGACGCACGCTCTGAATAATTCTAGGAATAGTTTCTTTTAAATTTAAACTTGTTAGCACCTACTTACTAACTGCTTTTTCATTTTTATATACAGAAGAGAAAGTATGTTTTGAGAATGGAGACATCGAGGATCTTAAAGTTTGCCAGAAAGATAGTTGTACTGAGGATTGCGGCAGCAAGTGTAATAAGAAGAAAAACAACGTTTATTTCGGACTCAGGACATCGAAATGGATAAAAGTTTACTACTTGAAAGATTTACTAGAAATTTTAAGAACTTCAGGAAACGCGAATTACATGTTAGTTGGCGGCAATACCGCTAGAGGTATAAAATTTATTTTAATTTATCTTTTTTTAGCAAAAATCTTTATTGACTTTTTTTAATTCTATAGGTGTTTACAGACAAAGAGTATCTCCAGACATTTATATTGACGTAACAAGCGTAGAGGAGTTAAGGAATTATTCATTGAATAATAACACATTGGTTCTTGGAGGAAACTATATTCTTGAGAACGCAAAAAAGTTATTTGCCAAAATATCTAAAGAAAACAAAAATTTTGCCTACTTATCGGATATGGCAGAGCATATCGATTTAACAGCAAATGTACCAGTGAGAAATGTAAGTTCAGTTATATTTAAATTGTTTGTAAATGAATCAACATAACATTGCGTTCATACACCTGAAAAATATGATTTTTCGAATAGGAAAAATAGGTTTTTTTCTTCTACGATTTCTCTAACATAATATCCACAGTTTAGATTACACTGAGACAAATCCCGCTTTATTCCAAAAAATTTTAAGTTAGGCCTCAGTTACACTAATAATAAGTGAGTCCTAATTTCTTACAAATGAAAGCTCCCTATTCCCAACTGAATATATTGCAAAAAAGTATATTTGACAATTGATTAAAATGTAATTCCAAGTGTGCTGTTAAATAAAGACAAGACATTTTTTGTAATAGTTGCAAACAAGTTTCAGCAAAACGCATGTACATACTTATGGCAACGTAATTTTTAGTTGTCCTTGTAGATATTTTACTGACTAGCTAAAATATTCTAGCAAAGCGTCTCACTCGGATGATGTAAAATGGAATTTGCAAAAAAGAACTTTTTAATTTGGGACCCTTCGAGTCTAATAATTTTTCTGGATACCCAAAAACTTAATAATTTACTATATATTTACTAGTTTCTTTTAAAACAAAAATATAAATAATTAAAACAATCTTAAGATCAGATATGATTGCTTCTGTATACATGGTGATAGAAGGCTTGAAAATATGTAACTTTTATTAAGCAACTGATGGTCTAAAACGTTAAGTTTTAAATTGAAAAAAATGTTCACATGAAGGTTTAAATAAATTTAAAATCGTCCCTGGTGTAGCAGCCAGCTGTACCTTTGATATCGAAGCTGCCGCGCGTCGCAGTGCGAGAGCGCTGATGCCGGTTTTGTCGGTATAAACTTTGTGTTCGAAAACGCCGAAATTTATTCAAATCTCGTTTAAAAGTAATACAAAAATTAAACGAATAAACGCATTACTTATCAATAGATGATATGCTCTATAAAAATTGTTCAAAATTGATTCCGTGTGCTAATAAACATGCTTCCAAACGACGGGCCAAATTCTGTCACCAAAAACACCACACCACACATTCACTGGAAACTGTTGCTGGAACCGAGATCTCTGTACAACGTGAGGATTTGCATCACACCAATAGTGAATGTTGTGATAATTTAGTATGCCGTCTCCAGCAAAATAACATTCTTCCGTAAAAAGTACGTTGCTTGTAAAATCCTGATCTTGTGCTATTTGATGTCGAAACTGAATTTTATGCCTGAACCCTTTGTACATGAGAGGGGTGTATTGTTTCCGTAGTACACGCCACACTGTACCGCTATACAGGGTGTCCCTGAAAAGGATGGACAACGCTTGACCACAGGTTCCTTGGATGAAAATAAGACTATTTAGCATAACTTACCTATATACAAAAGTGCACTTCTACTGAGATATAGCCTTCTAAATATAGAATAGATAACCTAGTTTTTTTCAAATAATTTGAAAACTAGTTTTCTTAGAAACTTCAAATTTGGTACACTTATTTTTTTATGTAAGTTCGACATAAATAAAAAATTTGGTGATGATACATATACAGCATGTTCTCTTTCTAGTGCCTGTGCGCCACTGGCTATCCCGTAATTTTTTTGTGTGTGCGCCAGTGATGCCAGATTATATTTTTAAGAATAAGCACTATTTTAGATGATTTTGAAATCGTTTATGGATTTCGAGTAAAATTGGCATTTTTGTACATTAAATATAGGCAAATATTCCAATTTGTAAAAAATAAATTATAACTGCAGCCTCAAAGCACGGAATATTAATGAAGAAACGTCACATTAAAAAAAAATAACTACATTTTTAGTCTTAGTATTATCAATCAATAAAATAAAAATCAACATTATTTTAAATAAACAATATCAACTAATAATGTAAGAAAGTCAACATTAACACTTTAAATAAACCTAAATTTATATTTGTAATCACATTAAAATAATATTACAATAAATGCTCAAAGTGACTTCCTTGTTCTTAAATGCAAGTATTAGTTCTTCGAAAATTAAAATGAATTTTATCCAATAATTGTGCATTACCTCTCATAACATTAATTTCATGATGTATTCTTTCCCATTATTCGTTTTCTGTATTTATTGAAAAGTTATAAATTGTTGTTCTCGACGCTTTTCAAATGAAATAATTAAAAGGGTTTAGATCCGGGGATCGAGGTGGCCATTTTAAAGAGGCATTATTTCCTCTACCAATCCTCCTGTTAGGATAGTAACCTGTAATAATTGGTCTTTTAATACTCTATTAACAAAACTTTTTGAAAGCCAATGTCTGCCGCTAAACGCCTTGAATTTACTCGAGGAATTTTTTCGACCCTTTCCAAAATTTGTTCTTTCAGCTGAATAGTTCCAGGATTTAATGTTACAGGTAAAAAAACGTCTTGTTTCCCGAAGGCGTCTTTCCGCATTAGCAAATGTTTTGTGATTTGGAATTCTTTGATTAGGAAATCTTTCAGCACGTGTTCATACAGTAGCACAACAATTTCCTTTACAATAACCCAAATCCAATAATATATCAGTTTGTTCAGCGAAAGTATAAATTGCAATACAAAACAAACTAAGACAAAATTAAATCACACCTCACTTGAGATTGAACCTTTTAATTATTGTTATGAATTTGTTTCTTTGCTATATGGCAGCTCGTACTAGACTGTTGTAATTATCTTAAACTGATTTTATATTATTTAATGTAAGAAGTAAGAGGCAAAAAGTCTTCTAAAATGGTGCTTATTTTAAAAATATAAATTATGTCGTCATTGGCGTACACACAAAAAAGTTACGGGATAGCCAGTGGCGCACAGGCACTAGAAAGAGAACATCCTGTATATGTATTATCACCAAATTCTATATTTACATTGCGCTTATATAAAAAAGTATGTGTACCAAATTTGAAGTATCTAAGGAAAACAGTTTTCAAATTATTTGAAAAAAAAAAAACTAGATTATCTGTTCTATATTTAGAAGGCTCTCAGTAGGCGTGCATTTTTGTATATAGGTAAGTTAAGCTAAATAGTCTTATTTTCATTCAAGGAACCTGTGGTCAAGCGTTGTCCATCCTTTTCAGGGACACCCTGTATATACCACAAAAAAAATTGAGAAAATTACCCCTGCAGTACGACTATGGCTACCATATTTTTTCGGGATCGGTGAATCCAAATTCGGGGTCCATTTAACCCCATCACATCAGGATTTTTCATAACCTCAAAAAATAGGCCTAAAAACCCAATAAATCCTTTATCCATTGATCACGCTATCCTAAACCCCTTAACCCCATAACCTTAAAATGCATTTTCAGGGAACATGGGGTGAGACTATGATGGCAGATTATTGCTGCAATTTGAAAAGAGATACAGACAAAAATCATAAACGGCATTCGCTCCGTAGATCTTTTGAAAGTAAAGAAGTTTGTTACGATAAAAGGTCTAAAGAAGATGAATAAAGTATCTTCATTAAGTTTCATTTTTTATAATTTAATCGTTCTTTTACATTTTACATATAGTCAATTTATCTACTTGTTATTTTATTTTTGCTATTCGTGTGAGGCAAGGAGAACACACTTTCAAAAAGCATCCGAAAAGTGAGAGGCAAGGGGACCTCACTTTGATAAAGCACCCCGAAAAGTGTGAGGCAAGGGGAACACACGTTAATAAAGCACCCCAAAGGGAACAGAAGCCTACTGCGTCCTCGTCGTTGTTCCTGGATTCGGCAAAACGTAGGTTCTCGTTATTACAGGAATATGGGGTTTCGGAGTTATACGGTTATTGAAGAATGTGGATTTAAGGCTTAAGAAGCATGCATGTCTCGAATATATTGTGTCTCTTTCTTACCGGGTTTTGGGATTTTGAGGTTATGACATTTTGAGATTATGGGGTTTAAGGGTTTAAGGGATTAAGAAACCTCCATAACCATGGGGTTATTGGGGTTGAATGGTCAATGGATAAAGGATTTATTGCGTTTTTGGGCCTATTGTTTGAGGTTATGAAAAATTCTGAACTGATGGGGTTAAATGGACCCCGAATTTGGATTCAGTGACCCCGAAAACATATGATAGACATAGTCAGACTCGGGGGTAATATTCTCAATTTTTTTTTGTGGACATGTGTAATTTTTGCAAGAAAAACACATAAATGTATCAAATTTAAAAAATATATAAGTATTTCGCTGTTTTAGATCGGCACTATCGCTGGAAATCTGATGATAAAATACAACCACAATGAGTTTCCTTCCGATATTTTTCTGATTATGGAAACTTACGATGCCATTATAGTAATAGGTACGCAATATAAATTCCTTTATTACGAACTGTACCATTCTATAGCAGAATATTTTCAGTTGACACTGAAGAGAATGAGTCTATGGTAAGCCCTCAGGAATTCCTCAAGAAAGACATGAATAAAAAAGTAATTAAAAACATTATATTGAAAGGTTACGACAATTCGTATAAGTACTTAACATACAAGGTAGTATCTACATAGTAATGGAAAGATTCATTAGTAGAACTCATTCTAGATAATGACGAGAGCTCAAAACACACATGCCCTTGTGAACGCTGGTTTCCTATTACGATTCCAAGGTGAAAAAATTGTATCTGCGAGGATTATATACGGAGGAATAAATCCTAAATTTGTCCATGCCACAAAGACGGAAAACTATTTGAAAGGGAAACGTTTGTTCGATAATAACGTTTTGCAAGGAGCTTATAAAAGTTTTGACGACGAACTGCATCCAGATTACGTACTGCCGGATAGTAGGCCAGAGTTTCGGAAGTTATTGGCAATATCTTTATTTTACAAGGTAGACCCTGCCAATAAATCGAAACTAAAACCATTTCTTTGCAATACGATGTGTTTTATTGCAGTACGTGTTGCACATAGCACCTGGTGGAGTGGTTGCGAGTAGGAATAAAAGTGGAGGAACACTTCTGCAAAGGCCGCTTTCGTCAGGAATACAAGAATTTGGAACGAACAAAGACAAATTTCCCTTGGGAGAACCACTCGCTAAAGTGGAGGCGTTAGCTCAAACTTCAGGTATTTAGGTGGATGCTAGTACTAGTAGCTGTAGGTTGTAGAGATGGGCAATACGGATCTTTTTAATGATCCGCATGATGTGAAATGTATCCGCTTCAATAGACCCGCATCAGGGAATCGTATATTCGGTGCGACTAACTGGTAAATTGTACTTGTACTTTTTGTAGATGTGTGCGCTTCTGTATCGGATACGTGAATCAGTTAATATCAATGCCTGCAATGCCGTCCAATTACCTATCCTCTGACTGATTCTGGCGCTCCTCAAACCTTCCTACTCCCTAATGATCGCTAGGATTTTGATCCATGGCAGGTTCCTCACCTCATCCCCTTGCAAATCTTCGGTATCAAAGACTTTATGCCACAACCTTCCGAAGGCTGTGCAGTGTTTCAGAAGACGGAAAGGGTATCCCCCTTCTCCACATTTCGGGCATAAAGAGTCCTACTATTAAACTAACCATTTGGTTTAGGGCTCTTCGACCAAGACTCAGCAGCCATCTCGTCCTAGATTTGTTAGGACCATATAAAAAGCTATGAGCCTACCTCCAATTTTGTTTTAATGTTTGATATACCCAAGTTGTTATTTTAAAAAAAACGAACACCTTTGTTATATTAATTACGTTAATTTATTTGTTAATGCACATATATTTCACATTTACATCAGTAAACGGACTGAAAAAACCATTCGGTAAATTTTTCTTAATTTTTCATAATGAAAATGCAATGGCGAACATCGCATCCTCCTTAATTAAATATTTTACGTTTGCTTTCGTTACAAAACGCGATATAAAAAGTAATTTTCAAGATTTAAAAAAGTACTTGCTTCTCAGGGAACAAAGGACTCGTCACGGTTTTTATGAAAATGTGGGTTCGGTCAAATTGGATGAAATTGTGGTAAGTTGTCACTGACCAAAAGTCTCCACAGTACTTGGGTCCGAAAATCAATTATTTCTTTTTGAGGGCTGCAAAGTAGTACCAGTACGTTTCACAAAAGTTACTGTCTTTATTACAATATTCTACTCGTACTATTTTGCAACCATCATCAGCAGAACTGATTAAAAGTAGGAAAGAATTGACTTGTGGACCCAAGTGCTGTGGAGATTTTTGGTCGGTTATACAAAACTAAAAACTTACCACAATTTTAGCCAATTTGACCGAGCCCACATTATCATAAAGACCGTGCGGGATCCTTTAACTATAATCAAAATTGAATGATCTGTAAGGCTATATGGCAACAGAGTTATTTAGAGAACCTGAATATAGCATCTAAACAATTGTAAAATAATAAAATCATTTCAATTATACTGTATCCTACGTTTTTTCCGTGAATTTCATTTCACGACCATTGAGAATAAATTTAAATGTAAAATTTTCAGTTAATATGTGAATTTGTAAAAATACCCTAATGTTACACTTGTGTCTGTTTATACACATACGTAGAAGAGTTAGGTACCTACTAGTAGTACTAGTAGGTATTGCAGATTGGGTAAAGGTAATTGGATGCAATAATAAACACAACCTTCAATACAATCAAAATTCCCTTTTGTGTTTTGTTTGTTTACGTAGTTATAAAAAAATAGTTATGTTTTAACTATGTTTCGTGTTGGGAGAAGATGTTAAATGTATGGTTTAATTGTGCTACGGCGTACTTATACAAAAATACTATTTGCTTGTATACAAATCCGAAGTTTACTTCTCATCAATTTTTCACAATTTTCTGCTTTTTTTTAGTCAGTTTTAGGATAAAGCGGTTTAATGACGTGTTCATTATTCAAAGTTAAGTGAATTTGTTAGTTAGAAAAGAATATTTTCTGGAAATTACATGGTATGTTAATATTTGTTAATAAGTTTCAAAGTAGTTAATTGCTTTGCTAAAGCGTAGGTATTATAGGACTAAAAGAAAATTATACACAGAAAATCTTTTGGTAATCCCTGGTAGGCTATAAAATTATAAAATGTTACATAATAGTTGCTATAACTATTGTGCTTGGATTTTCATTGCAGTTATGGTCACTAACTTTTGATTACTCAAAGAATAGGTAAGGTTTGCTAAACTAGAGAACGATTTCGATCTTGAAATCCTAAGTAGGAAATGAAAAACGCTTGCAACAACGCAAATTTTAGATATATTTCCTTGTGGATGCTTAAGATCGTTAAAAAATACTTTAGTGATCTTTGTGGATGGCCTGATTTCTAAAAATCTTGAAATTTTGATGCCCTAAGTCAAGAAAAATAAATGGTTACACTTTGTTTAGCGGTAAGAAATCTCTAGAACAGTTGGTGGAAACGAGCGTTAGTGTACTATTTACGTATTTCTACGTAGATTCTCAGTAAAATGGTGAAATCTCGAAAAATCTAAATTTACAATTTTTTTTATTTTTATTAGCTTTCTTTTTTCAGGACAAGCGCAGTATATAGCGGACATTCCTGATCTTCCAAATCAATTATTCGCAGCATTTGTAACGGCTAAAGCAGCGCCTAATTCTCAAATTGCTACCATTAATACTACAAAAGCTCTGGTAAGAACTAACTTTTAAAATTACGATTTCAATTGGAAGTATAGATATTTGTATAAGATATCCTATACAGGTGATAATTAAACGTTTGGTTATGTCTTCGGAACTAGAGGAGGTACGAAAATGTATCCAGTCATAACAAGATCGAAACTTTTCGATTTATTACCTATTTTAATTGACGTTAACATTACGAAATACTCCACAAAATGTAAAAATAACATTGGAACTACTCGTTTTTCCAAAAAGTTCATACCATTCTTTTGCTAAAAATACCATTTTAAATTAAAATTAATCATGACAAATCCAAAAAAAATCAGTGACGGGAAATTTTTGTTAAGAGGTGGCAAGGGGTATGATTCGGAAAAAATGTGCCAAGACTTTTCATTATTACGTTGAATTTAAAGTCTTAATATTTTGATAAAAAAATCGTAGCGGATCGAAACTTTTTTGCGAAACGAGTAGTTCTAAACGTTATGTTTAATGAAGTGCTAGGTAACGATAATGAAATTAAAAAAAAAGTACTATAGGTATCGAAAATGGTTATGTTTTACAACAAAGACATCTCTTGTCTTGTAAACACCATAAAGAGTTGGAAGAGTGACAAAATTTTCAAAAAAAATTAGTGACTTCGACTTTCTGAGGTATTTAGTGAAAGTAACTTTCGGTATATCCGTCACTAGTACATGAATTTATATCCGAATGCAATGAATTTTTATCTTTAATTACATAAATCATTAGCCAAAGTTTTGTCGGTCTATACCAAACGTTGTCAGGGATATTTTAAAAAAAGTGTGTTTTTAATCTTAATTTTGAAAACTATCGATTTAAGATTATATGATCTTTTTTTTTTGTTTTAAATCACTCAAATAATCATTCCTTAAAATTGTCGTCGTACTTAACATCTATTGACCTATACCAATGTTTATCCAGCTGTAACAACTGATGGAAACGCATTTTACAAATTCCATTCATAAAAAAGCTAATTATACTTATTTCGACTTTAAAAATTTTGAAAATAAAAGAGTCCAGATTTTATTTTTATACAACTATTGTGATTGAGTATTTCCATTCTTTCATCTTTTAAACAGTAATAATAACCTATTTTTACATTTTTACCGGAAGTTTTACAAAAATTGTATTTGTTCCAAAGAGTTTGGAAGGGGTAAAGGGAATAAAGACTGTAAATTATCTGCGCAAAGGCTGCCGTTTTTCGTGACTGGATGATATAAGTGGAGAAATTATTATTTTAAAACAAACTAGATTGTTGTCTAGAAGAACAACTTAACTGCACATTTGAGCTGTTCTACAACAGAATAACATAGTGGTGTAATAGATGAAAGGAGGAAGAATTAACAGGATGCGCAGGAATATATGTCTTATCTTTCTCTTTTTACATCTATGGTTTGTTTGTTCCTATTTTATGAGTTTATTATTTGCCGTAGTTCTGACGTAGTCCTGATGCTGATGACAAACAGTAATGCTTAAGTACGAACAAACACAAAGCATTGACACAAAGTAGTAATGCCATTTAATATATGATACATACTTTTTATGTAAGATCTATCGCATATGTAAATCAAATAAGTTTAGATTCCATTTTATTATTATTTAAATGCTACAATAATATTCTTGGAACGCATTGTCCAGGAACTGATGCTGCACAGTTGAGGAATGCTATTTAAGTTTATAAAACGTCAAAACACAGACTAACTATAGACAAGACAAAACCGAATCTTATGATGATAAAATGATATTAATTGTAGATAATAATACAAATTGAATTGTTAGAGTTAGCTGTAGAAGTAGAAATCTTGTTTTGCTGTTGTTGTAGCACTCGTAAAAGATTTCTTTATTTTGTAACATTTGGGCCACTTTAATTTTTTCTTCGATGGAATCTTCAGTATATTTTTTAGCCACCGAACTTCTCCATTCATTGTGTCATTTTAAACAATGATCATAACAAAAGCGTGTAATGCGAGTTATGTCACAATATGGAATAAAATATGATGGGACTAAGTAATTTAGTTAAATTTTGAAATATCAATATGAAGTAAAATATTCTGCGCTACACATCGGTGAAGTGATATATTACAGTATTCGCTAGAAATAGGCAACTTGCATGAAAATTTAATTTCTTTTAGAACTGCATTTTGTAGTCTGTAATCAACAACAACTAACAATGGTAAAACAATTAATTTCTTTAATACTACAAATCAATTATAGATGTTTAAAATGCACTGTGATGTCATATATTGCGACCGAAACCACAATCATCTGCTTTTCGGTCCTCAGCTGTCTAGTCAATCAGAAACTCACATTTGAGGAGTGAATTTTGCGATCCTGTCATTTATCGTTTTCGCACTAAGTGACGTCATGAATTAGTCTGACAGCAAAAAACCTATTTAATAATTAATTATTAACTAATAACCTCTAAGAGATTTCCGATATTTTCTCTATATGGTTATATAACCTTATAAATTATTTGTAGACATTTCAAATATATGTTTCTGGACTAGGCTCCTACGTCGCTTTTTTCATAAACATCTAACTTGTACTGTAACATATCACGTACAAGACTTGTAAACTAAATAATTATTAAACTTTTTTTTGCATAAACTATAGCTTTCATGACATTAACAGAAGTCGAAGAAAGCCAATATACAGTTAGTACGAAAAGTAATTTGTTACGTCATTTGAATTCCAGCCTTTCCTGCATCATATAAATGAATGAATACATTTTCGTATCTCTATTTTCGAAGACTGCAACTCTTATTTCAATTTAAACAGTTGGCTCTCAGTATAAGTATTAAAATTATAGTAAGTAACTAATTCAATAATAATAATAACGATGATTCACAGAAAATGAAAGGGGTGGTGGCCTTTTTGGGGAAAGATGATATTCCTGGACAGAATACGTTTACTCCAAAGACAAAGGATTTTCAAATACAAGAAGAACTATTTTGCAGCGGTAAGGTCCAGTACTATGACCAGCCAATAGGTATAATAGTGGCTAAGGATCAAGATGTGGCTGTAGAAGCAGCTGAATTGGTTGAGGTGACATATTCCCCACCAAAAAGAAAACCGTATTTAACCATTAAAGATGTCCTCAACGCAAAAGATAAGAGCAAAATTCACCATCAAATAACTGTGATTCCAAAAGATAAAGGTATTGTTAATTTAGACTTTTCTTATTGTCACTCTCACCAGTCTTGTACATATATTTTATATAAAGTCATGTAGATACTAGAATTTACACAATATCATTTGTAATAAATAATTTGTTAAGAATTGGTCTAATAATGCTTCTTTAGGTTTTGTTGTGTTGAGCTAGGATAGGAAGGTTAAGTTAGGTTGGGTCAGATTAGATTAGGACACTGATGTATGGCGCAGACGTGTGGGGTGAAATGATGAGGATGAAGAAATATAGAGAAGCTGAAAAAATACAAAGAAGGATGGCCATCCGCGTCATTGCGGGATACAGAACCATATAGATAGAAGTGGTACAGGTCTTGGCGAGTGCCAATCTAATGGATCTTCTCATCGAAGAGAGGGGACGGATATTTCACGAGGAAAGCGATAGGAAAGAAGAAAGGAGGAACACAACAGAAAGATGGCAGGAGAGATGGGAAAGAGGCGTAAAAGGAAGATGGACGAGGGTATTAATACCTCAGGTGGCTCGCTGGTACGACAGAAAATGGTGTGAAGTATCATACACAGTGATTCAATTCCTGACGGGGTACGGTAGCTTAGGCTTATATAGGAAAAAATAGGAAGAACGTAGGGCGCCAATTGTTATCACTGTGAAGAGGTAGAAAACAGCCCGGAACACACTATGTTCCATTGCCCGGAATTCGCGACAAATAGAAGGGCGGCAGAAAGGGAGATAGGAAAGATTGGAACTGCAAAATGAGATACAAGAAATGCTGGGAAATGAGCCAGGGTGGAAAATAATTTCAAAATGGATAGAAACAGTGATGAGGAGGAAAGAAGAAGAGGAATAGCGCAGGCAGCGGGAAGAAGAGGATGGAGGTGGCCCATGGTAGAGGATTGTTTTTTATTCTGTTTGTAAAAGAATTGTAGAAATCTATTTTGTTCATATATGTTAAAATTTGATATTGTCCTTGGTATTGGCTATGGTTGTTTTGTAGTGAATTTGTATTTATTAATTATTTGGTTGTTATTTATTTTATTGTTGACTGATTGCTATTATTTATTTATTGAATGTTATTAGACCATGTAGGATAGATTATTAAATAATTAAACGGAAACTGTCATGGCCCAAAAGTTACGGTTCATATTTTTGATAAAAATTATACATAATAATTTGTGGGTACACATGCCGCAAGTGACCCATTTTTAAGTACAACGTCAATAGCGCCATTCTGACGCCCGGATGCACCAGGGTTTCCGGAAGACGACCCCGGCAGATTGGCGCCAAGGACCAAGTACTTCTGCGAGCGACTCCACGCCAAGACTGACTCTCCAGCAAACACTCGAACCGACAACACGTCTTTTTTCACAAGCTTAGTTTTTAATAAAAATGCTTTATTTGTACCGTTTTACTTTTGCTGTACAGCGAAAGCAACCCTCAAATTTTTTATTTATATCCATATGACATCTTTATTTTTTCATCAACTATCCTCGCTCTTTTCGTCTTTCATTCTTCTTTAATAATATAATAATGGTTAATTTTCATATTTTTAGGTACTGATGTGAAGCACGTCGTGAAAGGAAACGTTTTCCTTGGCTTGCAGTATCACTTTCATATGGAAGTGCAATGTTGTAATGTTGTACCTACAGAGGACGGCTTGGATTTGTATCCCTCATCGCAGTGGATGGATGCGGCTCAACTCGCATGTTCAGCTGTGTTAAATATTCCCATGAATAGGTCTGCTATAACTCATATAATTTACAGTTTGTAACCAAAAATTTATCCAAACCTTAATAATAAATTAAATTTATTTGCACATGCGTATATAAATGCCCGTTTTTCGAAATGATTATTCAAAAAAAAAAAAAATGGATTTATCCTCTTCTTCCACCAGAGTTCTTTAATTGAAGTCCGTGATATAGTGATGAGCAATTTTTACTTCATTGCTATTTTCATGTACGATTTTTGGTTAGGCAAAAATGGTTTTACAAAAATAACCCTTAACCGATTATAGTAACTTCAGACGCTTTCTGTGTTTGAGCAGTTCGATTTGTTTTTCAATTGGAATTTTATTTCATCAAACATTTGAGAAAGCTGTGCAAATTTCTAAAAGCTTTATTTCAAAATTTCCATTATAGACCGATCAAAATAACTCATTTAGAGGGAAAAAAAAATTGTTATCTGGACTTTTATAAGTGGAAATGGTAAAGGGGCTTATAATAAACGAAAAAAAAAATAAATGCGGGAGCAGGGGTGGCGGAGGGTAGATTTGGGGGGTTGAAAAGTTATGAAATATTGTATCATTGGGATTTCTGGCGAAAGTTGACGTCAGACAAAAAAGTATCTAATACACAAGTTGTAGATCATGCAAAAATCTACAACTTTTGTAGAACTCATTTTTTAACATAACCTAAAAATTTCCGAAAAAAATGCGAAAAACAGTTTTTTTTCTGAAAAATTCTACTTAAAAAAATCATCGCGCAGAGTTCTGCCGGTAATTTTTCGGTGAAATAAAAAAATTTGTAATCACAGTTCAAAAACATGCTCAAAAATGCAAAAAAGTAAAAAATGATTTGCAGCAATGAATTTTTCAGTAATTGTTGATAATTTGTTTAAAAAAAAAATCAAAAACAGATTACACCATTCAATTGTACAAAAAAATACAAAAAAAACTGTCTCATTGTTTGACCCAAAACTATTTTTGTACAGTATTGCTATAAACATAAGTCTAATAGTGAATAAATAAAATAAATAATATTTTTTTTCCGTAGGATC